TACCCCAGATTTCGTAATAAAGGGAGGGGGGTCTCATTTCGGGGGGGTCTCTTCCAGGCTATCTTGGAGGGCCTGGGGGGTCTGGGGACGATGTTTTGGAGGGTTCTCCCACGGGGGAGGTCTGAAATGGCTTGTCTTGGAGGGTCCAGACCCCCTCCCTTTTACTACGAAATCTGGAGTACCCTTGAGTGTTCTTTGGCTTGGCTGGCGGAGGGTCTCATGCTCTCGAGTTGGGCGTCGCGCAGTGGAGGGGGACGATAAATGGGGGGCAGCAGTGGTTGCAGAAGAGGGACCCTTTGGGGGCCCCAAAGGGGGCCTCTAGGGCCCGAAAAGGGCACCCTTCTTCCCCCCCTTCTATCGCCCCCTTCCCCCCTTCTATCCCCCCCCCCCCCAGTTCGCGCCCAACTCGAAGGATGTTCTGCTGCCCTGGGGCCGGCCGCGCGAGGGAGGCGAAGGGCGGAGGGAGAGAGGGTCGGGGAAAGTCGGGGGTGGACAAAACCCCCACCCCGACGCATCGATTGGTGAAATCTCCGTTTTCGCTCCTCGAGAGGGCGCCGCGGCCGTCGTTTTCCAGGCTTGCGCCCGTCAGGTTTGGGCCCGAGGTCGTCTTCGCTAAACCACGTTTTGTCGGCGTCACCCCAACATACTTCTACTATATGTGCGTCGCCCCCCCAGGGGCGACGCGCGCACCGAGAAATCTTGTAGTATATGTGTCGTGGCGGGTGCTTTCTGGCCACACCGCTCGGGAAACGGTATATTACAAGATGGGTGTACTATATGGTTCGGGTCGGACCCGCGTCTCCAAGGAGGACATCTAGTATCAGTATGCCTCTGTGCGTCCCGTTTTGCTGGAGGGGGGTTCTGTCCATCCACCGCGAAGGGAGGGGAGCAGGGGGGCAGGGAACCGCGAGGACGTGTGATTTGTTCCCAACCATCCTGTGGTGTTGGGTCCTCGTTTTGAAGAGACGGTGCCCGCGTCCTCTCCTCTCCTTCTCTCCTCCTCTCCTCCTCCTCCCCCTCCTCCTCCCTCCTCCTCCCTCTCCTCCCTCCTCTCTGCGTTTCACCCACCCATTACAGCGCTTCGTGGCTCCATAGGGAGCTCCACCCCCTAGGGGAGCTCCAACGAAGGCCCAGTGGGGGTGTTCGCATTGCGGTTCCCCCACCCAGGGCAGCGTTTAGTGGCCCCATAGGGGAGCTCCACCGAAGGCCCCAGTGGGGGTGTTCGCATTGGCGGTCCCCCACCCAGGTGCAGCGTTTCGTGGCCCCAGAGGGGAGCTCCACGAAGGCCCCAGGGGGGTGTTCGCATGCGGTTCCCCCACCCAGGGCAGCGCTTCGTAGCCCCATAGGGAGCTCCACCGAAGGCCCCAGTGGGGGTGTTCGCATGCGGTTCCCCCACCCAGGGCAGCGTTTCGTGGCCCCATAGGGAGCTCCACCGAAGGCCCCAGTGGGGGTGTTCGCATGCGGTTCCCCCACACAGGGCAGCGTTTCGTGGCCCCATAGGGAGCTCCACCGAAGGCCCCAGTGGGGGTGTTCGCATGCGGTTCCCCCACCCAGGGCAGCGTTTCGTGGCCCCATAGGGAGCTCCACCGAAGGGCCCCAGTGGGGGTGTTCGCATGCGGTTCCCCCACCCAGGGCAGCGTTTCGTAGCCCCATAGGGAGCTCCACCGAAGGCCCCAGTGGGGGTGTTCGCATGCGGTTCCCCCACCCAGGGCAGGGTTTCGTGGCCCCATAGGGAGCTCCACCGAAGGCCCCAGTGGGGGTGTTCGCATGCGGTTCCCCCACCCAGGGCAGCGTTTCGTAGCCCCATAGGGAGCTTCCACCGAAGGCCCCAGTGGGGGTGTTCGCATTGCGGTTCCCCACCCAGGGCAGCGTTTCGTGGCCCCATAGGGAGCTCCACCGAAGGCCCCAGTGGGGGTGTTCGCATGCGGTTCCCCCACCCAGGGCAGCGTTTCGTAGCCCCATAGGGAGCTCCACCGAAGGCCCCAGTGGGGGTGTTCGCATGCGGTTCCCCCACCCAGGGCAGCGTTTCGTGGCCCCATAGGGAGCTCCACCGAAGGCCCCAGTGGGGGGTTCGCATGCGGTTCCCCCACCCAGGGCAGCGTTTCGTAGCCCCATAGGGAGCTCCACCGAAGGCCCCAGTGGGGGTGTTCGCATGCGGTTCCACCACCCAGGGCAGCGCTTCGTGGCCGGAGCTCCACCGAAGGCCCCAGTGGGGGTGTTCGCATGCGGTTCCCCCACCCAGGGCAGCGTTTCGTAGCCCCATAGGGAGCTCCACCGAAGGCCCCAGTGGGGGTGTTCGCATGCGGTTCCCCCACCCAGGGCAGCGTTTCGTGGCCCCATAGGGAGCTCCACCGAAGGCCCCAGTGGGGGTGTTCGCATGCGGTTCCCCACCCAGGGCAGCGTTTCGTGGCCCCATAGGGAGCTCCACCGAAGGCCCCAGTGGGGGTGTTCGCATGCGGGTCCCCCCCCCAGGGCAGCGTTTCGTAGCCCCATAGGGAGCTCCACCGAAGGCCCCAGTGGGGGTGTTCGCATGCGGTTCCCCCACCCAGGGCAGCGTTTCGTAGCCCCATAGGGAGCTCCACCGAAGGCCCAGTGGGGGTGTTCGCATGCGGTTCCCCCACCCAGGGCAGCGTTTCGTGGCCCCATAGGGAGCTCCACCGAAGGCCCCAGTGGGGGTGTTCGATGCGGTTCCCCCACCCAGGGCAGCGTTTCGTAGCCCCATAGGGAGCTCCACCGAAGGCCCCAGTGGGGGTGTTCGCATGCGGTTCCCCCACCGAGGGCAGCGTTTCGTAGCCCCATAGGGAGCTCCACCGAAGGCCCCAGTGGGGGTGTTCGCATGCGGTTCCCCCACCCAGGGCAGCGTTTCGTGGCACCCCATGGGGAGCTCCACCGAAAGCCCCCGTGGCGCAGTTCGCATGCGCTTCCCCCGCCCAGGGCAGCGTTTCGTGGCACCATAGGGAGCTCCACCGAATGCCCCAGTGGCGCAGTTCGCATGCGGTTCCCCCACCCAGGGCAGCGTTTCGTAGCCCCATAGGGAGCTCCACCGAAGGCCCGCCCCGGTGGCGCAGTCCGCATGCGGTTCCCCATCCAAGGCAGCGCTTCGTGGCCCCATATGGAGCCCCACCGAAAGCGGCACCCACAACGCGTTACCAACAATTGCTTATGGTTGGGTCTTTCGCCAGGATAATTCCCAACCATCCTGTGGTGTTGGGTCCTCGTTTTGAAGAGACGGTGCCCGCGTCCTCTCCTCTCCTCCTCTCCTCCTCTCCTCCTCCTCCCCCTCCTCCTCCCTCCTCCTCCCTCTCCTCCCTCCTCTCAGCGTTTCACCCACCCATTACAGCGCTTCGTGGCTCCATAGGGAGCTCCACCGAAGGCCCCAGTGGGGGTGTTCGCATGCGGTTCCCCCACCCAGGGCAGCGTTTCGTGGCCCCATAGGGAGCTCCACCGAAGGCCCCAGTGGGGGTGTTCGCATGCGGTTCCCCACCCAGGGCAGCGTTTCGTGGCCCCATAGGGAGCTCCACCGAAGGCCCCAGTGGGGGTGTCCACATGCGGTTCCCCCACCCAGGGCAGCGTTTCGTAGTCCCATAGGGAGCTCCACCGAAGGCCCCAGTGGGGGTGTCACATGCGGTTCCCCCACCCAGGGCAGCGTTTCGTGGCCCCATTGGGAGCTCCACCGAAGGCCCCAGCTGGCACCGTGTTCCCCGCGGGCGGTTCCCCCACCCAGGGCAGTTCGCATCGTGGTTCCCCCACCAGGGAGCACACCGAAGGCCCCAGTGATGTCACATGCGGTTTCCCCACCCAGGGCACCCCATAGGGAGCTCCACCGAAGGCCCCAGTGGGGGTGTTCGCATGCGGTTCCCCACCCAGGCAGCGTTTCGTGGCCCCATAGGGAGCTCCACCGAAGGCCCCAGTGGGGGTTCCACATGCGGTTCCCCCCACCCAGGGCAGCGTTTCGTAGCCCCATAGGGAGCTCCACCGAAGGCCCCAGTGGGGGTGTTCGCATGCGGTTCCCCCACCCAGGGCAGCGTTTCGTGGCCCCATAGGGAGCTCCACCGAAGGCCCCAGTGGGGGTGTTCGCATGCGGTTCCCCCACCCAGGGCAGCGTTTCGTGGCCCCATAGGGAGCTCCACCGAAGGCCCCAGTGGGGGTGTTCGCATGCGGTTCCCCCACCCAGGGCAGCGTTTCGTGGCCCCATAGGGAGCTCCACCGAAGGCCCCAGTGGGGGTGTTCGCATGCGGTTCCCCCACCCAGGGCAGCGTTTCGTGGCCCCATAGGGAGCTCCACCGAAGGCCCCAGTGGGGGTGTTCGCATGCGGTTCCCCCACCCAGGGCAGCGTTTCGTGGCCCCATAGGGAGCTCCACCGGAGGCCCCAGTGGCTGCTCTCGCATGCGGTTCCCCCACCCAGGGCAGCGCTTCGTGGCCCCATGGGGAGCTCCACCGAAAGCCCCCGTGGCGCAGTTCGCATGCGCTTCCCCCACCCAGGGCAGCGTTTCGTGGCACCATAGGGAGCTCCACCGAAGGCCCCAGTGGCGCAGTTCGCATGCGGTTCCCCCACCCAGGGCAGCGTTTCGTAGCCCCATAGGGAGCTCCACCGAAGGCCCGCCCTGGTGGCGCAGTCCGCATGCGGTTCCCCCTATCCAAGGCAGCGCTTCGTGGCCCCATATGGAGCCCCACCGAAAGCGGCACCCACAACGCGTTACCAACAATTGCTTATGGTTGGGTCTTTCGCCAGGATAATTCTGTCGGATTTTGGTGAATTTGGGGGTTCTCCTCTTTTCGGCTTCCCGACGCTCCAAGACGGCGGTCTTCTGGGCGTCCGAAGCCGCCTGGGAGGTTCGAAAATCGCCTCACAACCATCCGAAAGGGCTTCCAGGCAGTCCAAGAGAGCCCCAAGACGGCACAACAGGGTTCCAAGATGGTCTAAGAGAGCCCCATGATGGCCCAAGATGGCCCCAAGACGCCCTCCGAAGCATTCCAAATCGTGACCGGGTCGTTCAAGGAGACCGCGGTTGGAGGCAGGCTGGCCCGAGGAAGCCCCCAGAGGCCCCTAGAAGACGCCCAGGAGGCCTCCATAAGCCCTTAAGAAAGCTTGAAAAACTTGTGTGAGCCCGCCAGAGGCTCTCCAAGGAGGAGCCTCCGCATAAAGAGCTGAGGAGAATGGGGGGATACGCAGGGTATAGCGAGAATGCATGGAGGAAGGATAGCGAATCACATCATAATAACGGCGATGCTGGAAAAGGCAATTGGGGTAATGTGTGCTAGAGGTATCTGCATTGAGTGAGGCTCCATCGGCAGGGACAGAAGAGATGTGTGGGGAGGCGGCCTTTGCGGTCAAGCCTTGTCCAAATCAAGAATACCAAACTTCAAGGACCACGGTGCATGTCGCGAAGTGCCAATGCAGTCTTGTGTATATATATATATATATATATGTATGTATAGTTATAAAATCGCTCGAGTCCAAGTAAGAGCCCCCCCGCCCCGGGAGAGCATCACGCCCCTGACCCTACTCGCGGTCAGGAACTTTGGCTCAACGTGCCGCGCCGCCGCTTCTGGCCCACCGTGCTTCGGCGCGACGCGGTAAGACCACGTCCCCGTTTCCGAGCATCAGCGGTCCGAGCCTTCCCTAGGCTCCCCCGCCACGCGGAGCGGAGTGACACGCCATCGGCTCAAAGGGCACAGCGTGTCGCCGGGGGCGCCGCCGCGACGCGCTGAGCAGAAGTTCCCGGCCGTAGTCTGGGAGGGCAGTCGTCGGGGGCGGAAAAGAGGGGGGTGATGACTAGGGGGGGTGGATATCATGGCGGGGGCCATGATATCTCCACAGATTTCATGGCGCCTCTTCTTATTTCATTACGTCCCTGGCCCCCCCGCTGGGCCGCGCACATGCTGCCGGTCATGATTTGCACACACCCCTCTTGGACACCCCCCTCTTGGCCGCTCCCGAAGTCGAGGGGCCCCGAGGCCGTGCCCAGGCATCAGCTCTTCTTTGTGCTGTCCATCCGGAGGCTAGGCGGGGGCTTCTCCGTCCGAAGCGGTGGTGGTCCCTCTCTGGGGACTCATGCTGATCGTGACTTGCAGTGCCGGGCTGGGAGGCCACAAGATGGGACAGTATAGTCACTGCCAGCCGTCTTACCCGGAGTTGTTGACCAACGACTACACTGGGCTGAACGGAGTTTCAGTAACGCCTGACAGTGGCAGCGCAGCGAATTCTGCGTCGTGATGGCGCAGGCATTGGTGAAATTCACTTCGAACTGCGGGGTTCGGCCCGCCGCTTTTCCAGCTCTTTCCTGCTTCTACTCTTCAGACTGTGACTTTGGCATGGTGATCATATGTTGACCACGTTGGGTGCCGAGGCACACGAAGCCAGCGTTCAATGATTCTTGACGCTTCAAGTCTCCCCACCGGCTCATCCAGAAACGATCCCCAGGGGAGTTGTTTGCAGGAGCGGGGAAGGTAAGCAGTTAGTGAAGCAAGGAGGCCAATAATGGTGAACGTAGACGTCGGGCAGCCTTTCGGAGCCATCTGGGGCCTTGGGGATCCTGTTAGGGCCATGTGTGAGACCATCGAGCAAAGGAGGGGGTGTAGCTAATCCCTCCGTCGGAGGCTGGAACATCGCCTCTCCAGGTCCTGTTGGGGCGCTTTCTGGGCGCTCTTGGGGCTGTCTTGCAGCCATTTTTGGCCTCTCGTAGGGCTCTCTTGGGCGATCTGGGAGCCATCTTGAGGCCTCAAGCCCATCGGAAGCGAAAGTTCGAGAAGGCAGCAGACATAGATTACCCCTAAATATTGGAAGGGTTTTTGGGCTCTCGAAAGCGTCCTTGTGAGCCTCCGTGGTCACTTGGAGCCGTCTTGGGGCAATTAAAACCATCTTGGACTACGATCAGGAACTGTAGCTTAGCGTGTCGTGCCGCCGATTCTGGCCGATCATGCCTTGGCGCGACACGCTAACCACTTCCCAGTCCCCAGGCGTCAACGTCGGAGATTCTCCCAGGCTCCCGCCCCGCGGAGCGGAGCGGCACGCCATCCGCTTGCAGGGCATAGCGTGTCGCCAGGGCCGCCGCTGCGACACGCTAAGCAACAGTTTCTGCAGCATCTGAAGTTAAATTGGAGGCCATGTTGGGTTAGCTGGGGCCTCTTGGAGCCATTTTGGACGCTCTATCGACCCGCCACCGCCCACTTCCAGATTTAGGGGAAGGGACAAGGGGGAGGAACCCCTCCCCGAAGGTGAAGAAGGGGGTGAAACCATCTGCGCCCAGAGGGCTCGTGGAGTGCTTGCACTTACGAGTTCTTACTTGCTGTCTTAAGGCAGTGGCGGGTGGCAAGGGGTGGCGGTGGTCGGTCGTTCTCCGAGGCCAGGCTGTCTTGGTTCGGGTGTTTGAAGGCCTGGTCGTCCAGGCACGCAACGCTGTCGCGAGTCACTCGCCGAGTTGTGGTCGCGGGGGAAAAGTGGCTTGTGGCGCAATCGCGAGCTGCAGTGGCAACGATGCTCGGCTCAAGCGTGATTATAAAAGATGTGCAATCACGAGCTGCAGTGGCAACGATGCGGCTCGAGTGTAATACAAGGTAACTCAAATGTGATAAAAAATGTGGTAACATATGATACAAACAGTCCTCAAAACTGTGGGTCCAACTTGAGCAGTTTTGAAATCATACTTGAGCAGTTTTTCCCAACCATCCTGTGGTGTTGGGTCCTTGTTTTGAAATAGCGGTCCCCGCGTTCTCCTCCTCCTCCTCCTCCTCCTCCTCCTCTCCTCCTCCTCCTCCTCCTCCTCCTCCTCCCCCTCCTCCCTCCTCCATCAGCATCATCATCATCACCATCATCAACATCATCATCATCATCATCATCATCATCATCATCATCATCATCCTCATCATCATCATCATCATCGTCATCATCATCATCATCATCATCATCATCATCCTCATCACCCGTTTCAGCTCACCCCTCACACGCTTCGTGGCCGCATAGGGAGCTCCACCGAAGGTCCCAATGCCACCGCTTGCATGCGTCCCGCGCAACCATTACAGCGTTTCGTGGCCCCATGGGGAGTCCCACCGAAACTCCCAGTGGGACCGTCCGCTTGCGTCCCGGCAACCCAATCTGGCATTTTCACGCACCCAGTACAGCGTTTCGTGACCCCATAGGAAGCTCCACCGAAGCCCCCAGTGGGACCGTCCACATGCGTCCCGGAAGCGCAACTTGGCATTTTCACCCACCCGGCACAACGCTTCGTGGCCCCAGTGGGGGCTCCTCCGAAGCCCCCAGTGGGACCGCCCGCATGCGTCCCAAAATTAAATTTTGGCAGTTTCACCCACCCAATGCGGCGTTTCGTGGCCCCGTCGGAAGCTCCACCGAAGCCCCCAGTGGGACCGCCCGCATGCGTCCCACACGCCCAATTTGGCGTGGCCCCATAGGGAGCTCCACCGAAACCCCCACTGGGACCGCCAGCGCGCGTCCCACACGCCGAATTTGGCATTTCCACCCACCCAGTAGAGCGCTTCGTGGCCCCATGGGGAACCCCACCGAAGCTCGCAGTGGGACCGCCCGCACGCGCCCGCCACACCCAATTTGGCATTTTCACCCAGTCAGTACAGTGTTTCGTGGCCCCATAGCGACCTCCACCGAAGCCCCCAGTGGGACCGCCAGCATGCGTCCCGGAAGCACAATTTGGCATTTTCACCCACCCAGTACAGCGTTTCGTGGCCCCATCGGGAGCTCCACCGAAGCCCCCAGTGGGACCGCCCGCGTGCGTCCCACACACCCAAGTTTGTATTTTCACCAACGGAGTACAACGTTTCGTGGCCCCATAGAGAGCCCCACCGAAACCTCCACTGGGACCGCCCGCGTGCGTGCCGGAAACCCACTTTGGCATTTCCACCCGCCCAGTACAGCGTTTCGTGGCTCCATAGGGAGCTCCACCGAAGCCCCCAGTGGGACCGCCAGCATGCGTCTCACACAGTCAATCGGGCAGTTTCACCCACCCAGTACGGCGTTTCGTGGCCCCGTAGGGAACCCCACCGAAGCCTCCATTGGAACCGCCCGCATGCGCCCCGGGAACACAATTTGGCAATTTGACCAACCAGTACAGCGTTTCGTGGCCCCATCGGGAGTTCCACCGAAACGCCTAGTGGGATCGCCCGCGTGCGCCCCCGACACCCAATTTGGGACACCCTCGCACGTTTCGTGGTCCCGTAGGGAGCTTTACCGACGGTTCCGGTGCTACCGACCGCATGCGTCCCCCAACACGGATTTCGGCACACCCTTCACACGTTTCGTGGCCACATAGGGAGCTCCACCGAAGGCCCCAATGCCACCGCTTGAATGCGCCCCCCACACAAATTTCGGTACCCCCCCAGCAAATTTCGTGGCCCCATGGGGAGCTCCACCGAGTTCCAGGTCTACCGCCCACATGCGCCCCCCCCACCCACTACAACGTTTCGTGGCCCCGTGGGAGCTCCACCGACGGCCCCAGTGCTACCGCCGGGATGCGTCCCCCCCACCCAGTACAGCGTTTCGTGGGCCCATAGGGAGCTCCAGCGACGGACGGTCCCAGCGCTACCGCCCGCGTGCGTCCCCCCCGCCCAGTACAGCGCTTCGCGGCCACAGAGAGCTCCACCGAAGGCCCCAATGCTACTGCCCGCAGGCGTCCCCCCCACCCAGTGCAGCGATTCGTGGCCCCGCTCCACTGAAGGCCCCAGTGCTACCGCCCGCGTGCGTCCCTCCCACCCAGTACAGCGTTTCGTGGCCCCGTAGGGAGCCCCACCGACGGCCCCCAGTGCCACCGCCCGCATGCGTCCCACTCAGTGCAGCGTTTCGTGGCCCCATATGGAGTCCACAAAAGAAAATATTCACAATTGCGGTACCTACAACTACATATGGTTGGGTCTTTCGCCATGATAATTTATCACGGGCCAGTCGTCGCCTTGCCGCGACGCGCACTGGGCGCCTCGTTCGCGCCCCGACGCTGTGGCTGGCGTTTCCTGCTTCCGCCCAGTCGCCGCCCGTGGGTGCCTCGTGCGCTGTCTGGCGCTTCTGGATGCGCACACACACAGTCAAGACGCTAGCACAACGAGCAGTTTTGGTTCAGAAGTGGCCGATGTTCCTTACCGTCGACCCATATCGTAAGAGTTAACGACTTTCCAAGGGTACCTTTGAATCCTCCCCCTTCGGCCCATCCTTGGCCGCTTTCGATGGCCGCGTCCCGCTCGCAAAGTGTTGACATGGCCTTCCAAAGCCCTTGCGTCCTTGTCGGGTGTCCTTATGATACGGGTTGTTTGTAAGTCCTTCCGTGGTTGATCCTCTAGTTCCCTCGTGCAACCAGTCGCGGCTGGAAGCAAGCAAGGGATTCGTTCCTTATGTGTCCTTCCTTCTATTAGCAGCCCGACGGTACATTCTTTTCAGCAGGAGAAAGATCGACCTCACCGCCCGCCTCCAGAGTTATGGGTGCTCCGTGAGGCACTGGAACCTACATACGATTCCGCCTCGCCGTTCGTGTTCAGTTGAAACCATGCCATGCCAGCCGGACCCGTATCGATTCCCCTCGTCCCTGTCAAATGATGCCATGCGCGCAACCGTCAATTTCGACACAATTTTGGAAACGCCCTTGCACAGAAACGCAAAGGCCACACGTGCGCGCAAACGTCTAACTCAGACCATCTACGTAAAGCACGCATCGGTTTTCATCGAACATCGTACAGAAGGTTTGTTCGCATGTATTTGTTGTCATCCGGGGAAAACCAAATGGTTTTAGCAACCTTGCCCCGAAACCGCACTCTTGTCTCACCATGCGGTGTCTTTGTGTTGAGCTAAGATGTTCCCAGTGCGTGAACCCGTACCGAGAAGTACCATGCGGGCCATACGCGCGTGCCGCCACGCGCGCATGCCGAAATCCTTCCAGAACCATTGGCCCTTGGTTTTCGAAACATGTCAAAACGGCCTTCGCAAACACACGAATCGTTTTTCAGTAACAAGTCTTTGAGGCGTCTTGATTTTCTGCGCGCACACTTTTTCCATCATCAGCGCCACCGCATCTCCGCTGTCATCATCTTCGTCAGTCGCCGCCATTGGCGCCACCATCAATACAACCACCATGCTGCTGGTGATGATGATGATGATGATGATGATGATGATGATGATGTTGATGTTGATGATGATGATGCTGATGATGATGATAGTGTTTGGTGAAGATGGTAAGGATCATCACCATCACCATCATCAATATTATCATCACTATCAGCATGAGCATGTTCTTGAAACGCTGGTGCCCGTCTGCCTTCCGCAGCCCTTTTTGGGCTCCGACCAAATTCGCTCAAGCTTAATTCACGGCGGCCCATGTCAGCTGCTGTGGGGGCCTCGTTCAGGGCGGCGACCTGGCTCGCAGACCGCGTGCTGGAGAGCGCGGTGGTCTCAGAGGCGAGTTCCTTCGCGATCGCTGTGCAGGTGTTCGGCGGCGTGCGCGTCGCGTTCGGGACCGTGTTGTTCGCAGGAGTCCTCGTGGGCGTGCTGATCGGAGCCAATGGCTGCTGCTGCGGCCTGGGCGATCGGCGACCGCATCGAGGTACAGTGGCGAGTGGGCGGGGGCTGACAGGCGCGCGTCGTCGTGGGCTTCGCCACCGCCGCCGAGTTCACGACAGTGATGGGGACAGCACCTCCAGCAGGAGCGGAGGAGCGAGGCGAGATCCTGTATATGATCACGCCCGACGGCGACATGTATCCCCACGTGCTGCACACCGACGTGATCCAGGGCGCTGTATGAGTCCACCGAGGGCAGAGGGACCGCGCGTCAATGGTTGGCACGGCCCCAGCCGCCAACGCGAGATCGTACGGCGCCGACTGGACACCCGAGCCACGGGCGTTCCTGGAGGCGGTGGCGGCCGCGTCGGCGCGGTCCTTCGCCGAGGTGGAGGCGACGCTGGGACGACCAGCAGCGCCCAAGGAGGCGGGCTTGGACTCGGATTCAGCTCCGATTCCGCCTGACTGGGGGAGTGTGTCGAACCTGCCCGATCCCGACAGCAAGGGATGATATATTTTCGCAGGTAGTGACCAGAGCAGCTCCGCCAAGCTGCCGAGCCTGACGGTGGACTACGGGGTGATCGGTGAGGGCCTTGGCTTCGTGAAGATCGGCAACAGCAGCTTTCTCGTGCAGTACGGGGGCCCAGAGACGGCCCTCGACGCGCGGGTGCTGGCGATCCACCAAAGCGCAGGGGACGGCCGCCGCTTGGGGTTCCGCGAGGGCGTGAAGCAGCTCACGGGGACCGCCTGGCCGTCCTGGCCCTTGCTGGGCCCGAGGACCGCTGGATGGGTGTGTCGCTTCATTCGAGACCAGGATGTAACGCCTCGTTCCCGACACGCCCGCTTCAAGGCGGAGGCGGGGCTGTCGTCCTCAGATCCAGGGGTCGACTTCCACGAGTTCTGTCTGCGCCTGCTGCAGATCGGAATTCAGTTTGACCAGTTGGATGTGTCAGAGCTAGCGATCTTCGAGCTGATCTGCATGAAGGCGCAGATGATTGAGTGCAAGTACAGGGACAGGTATCTCCACCGCATGGGCGCGGCGGGCGATGATCTGGCCGAGGATGAGCGCATCTACCTTGGCACGTCGGAGACCCGCGGTCTCATGATGATCTCGCCCGCCCTCTCAAGTTGCGTGGCAGATGAGTTGCACAAGGAGGCGAGTGTCCTCAAGGAGAGACGCAACGTACGAGAGGAGAGATCGACAGCTCGGTTCGGCGGTGCAGGCGGCAGCGGATGCAACGACAACTCAGCGGGCCTGCAGAGCCGCGCCGGCAAGCTGGCGAGCGAGAACAAGTTTTTGAAGGAGAAGTTGGCGGCCATCGACCCGAAGGGAAAGGCAAATCAGGAGCGGCTGCGGCCGCGGATGGCAAGTGAGTCTCAGTGATGGCGGTGCCGCGGGAGCTGTTGCCAGTCCCCGTGGCTTTGCGGGCCGAGGAAGATTTCAACGGCTTCTCTTCCTCGACTCGGCATCGGAGAAGCCGTGCTCGCCAGTCTTTCTATTCTTCTTGCTGGGCATGCGAAGCTCTACATGGTCTCAATTGGCTATGCGGGCGGGACGCGTCGAGCAACTTCGAGTCTCTCTCTTGGGGTCAACGCCAAGGCATCGAGCAAATGAGCACTAGAATTCAGGCCCTTGGTGGGCCTCCCTGCACTGCGGCGGCGGCCCTCTCGGAGCTGTGCCGAAGCACGCCGGGCTATGACTGTCAGCCCGTGAAGTCCATCGTGTACACCGAAGGTCGTGTGCGTCTCCCCGGCGACGCCGTGAAGTGCGACGCCTCCGAGCTGCTGGACGGTTGCCCTCGCGAGATGTGGCGCGATTGGCGTCAGCGACTGCTGCCCGCTCCCGAACAGGTTCGTGACCCAGTCGTTCCGTGCTTTGATGAGAAGCTGTGGCGGTCTCCACGCCACTACGCTCGCTTCTTGAGTGAAATGTACAAGGCAGGTCTGATTCGTTTTTCTTCCCCGCGCCCTTCTACGGTGGGCTTGTTCTTTGTCGAGAAGTCGGGGGACCAGTTGAGGATGATCCTTGGCGCGAGGGCTGTCAACTAGGAGTTCATCGATCCCGACGCGACCGCGCTGCCGTCAGCTGGCGTCTGGCGGGGCCTGAAGATCCCAGCCGGCCACAACCTCTCGCTGAGCCAGGTGGACATCGAGGCGGCCTTCTATCGCATCGGGGTGCCGCCTGGGCTGGACGAGATGTTCGTTCTGCCCGCGGTGCCCGTGGACGCGTTGTTGGAGGCGCTGCCCGAGGTGGACATCGGCTCTCGGCTGGAGGGCAAGGTCTCGCCCCTGCTCACCGTCCTTCCCATGGGCTGGAGTTGGAGCTTGTACTTCTGCCGAGCGCTGGTGGTCTCGCAGGTCGTTGCGGCTGGCATCAGCGCGAGCCGCAACATGCAGGACAGGTGCGTGGTGCCTGACGTGAGCGAGACCGCGGGTGTCGCCGTGCACGTCGACGGCGTGGCCGCCATCGGGTGCGACCCCGCGTCCGTGAGCTCGACGATAGAGCAGGTCCACCAGCGTCTGGGGGCCAGCCATCTGAAGTGCAATGGGGGTGCAGTCGGACCCGTGGGATCAGAAGTTCACGGGCTTGAACTTCGATGTCGAGACGGGCTGCATCTCCGTGAGCAAGGGCCGCATCTGGAGGCTGCGCCTGGCGTTGCTGGAGGTCGCCGAGCGCGGCTACTGCAGTGGCGGCGACATGCTGTCGCTCCTCGGTCACTACACGTGGGCCGCCATCCTGCGGTGCTGCTTGCTGAGCGTCTTCCACAGTGCCTACAGCTTCGCTCGGGCCGCAGGGCCTCGGCGATGGCGTCTTTGGCCCGAGGTGGCCACTGAGTGCCGCGTGGCCGCAGCTCTCATCGCCTTTGCCTACCTGGGCCCCGAGCTGGAGGTGGACCCCGTGGTGCTAACGGACGCCTCCACATGTTCAGGAGACCTGGGGGGCGCGGGGTTTGGAGGCTACGCGGTGACGGAGAAGACCTGGACTCAGCACGACGTCTGGGCCGCGGCCTCTTGCATGGAGCGTTGGCGGTGCAAGTTCGAGGGCGCCATTGAGGCTCGGCGACGCGCCCTCCAAGCTGCGCGTGATCTTGGACGAGCTGACGATGCCAAGGAGCTGACGGGCGCGACAGGCCTTGTCGAGGACCCTGAGACGTCAGACGTGGTCATGCCCTTCGAGAGCGAGGGGTCAACTCGGACGTCGAGTGTTGCCCAGCCTGCTCGGTGTGCGTCTACATCGGTCGAGCGCCAGGTGAACTTCGAGGAGATCGACCCGAGCTTCTTGCTGCCGCTGGACTCGTGGAAACTGAAGGCGTTCGGGCGCTGGCGGCGCCCTGGGGACATCATGCGTCTAGAGGGCCGTGCGCTGATCAGTGGTGTGAGACATCGGCTTCGGCGGGCAGGAGCTTTTGGTCATGTCATCCTGAGCTTATGCGACAACCTGAGTTTGACACTTGCATTGGAAAGGGGAAGGTCTTCACATTGCGTTTTAAATCAGACGTGCAGAGAGTTGGCGGCCTTGAGTGTCCTGACAGGACCCTCCGTAGCCGTGCGCTGGTTCCCAAGTGGGCTTAACTCGGCGGACAAGGGGGGCCGCGCCATCGGGCGACCGCTCAGCTCCCACGAAGGTGACTGCCGCCATGCTGGCCAGCTCGGGGCCGACGAGGCGCGGGGCCTTGCTGCCTCGGCCCTCGCCCGCGCTTGCGGCGAGGCAGCCACCTGGCGGGATGCGGGCGGCGCGCGCTTCCTCGGCGATGTTGAGGAGCGCGAGCAGCCTGGGCGGGACCTCGCCGCCGAGAGCGCTGCCCAACCGAATGGTGACCAGGAGGGCCCGCTGGGAGACGCCAGCGGGGTCGAGCACCGCCTCAGCCTCAGCTCTGACAGCTCCTCCAGCAGCGACGCGGAGTCGTGCGGGTCGGCCTGTGACTCGAGCCGAGATCTTGAGAAGACAGCGGGCGAGCACCGGGGCGGCCCGCCACGGCGACGCACGGGAGGACGTCGAGCCTGGGCTCACCTTCTTGCAGACCAACAAGGTCAAGCCGCCCATGCGCACCGCCTTCCGAGAGCGAGTGCGGAACTTCCTAGAGTGGGCCAACGAAGGGGCTCTGGCGGAGATCTCCACTCGGCGCCTCGACCAGCTGGCTGCCAACTACATGGGCGTCCTGTTCTTCGACGGGATGGAGGTCGGCGAGGGCTCAAGGCTGCTGGCGGCCCTGCAGTGCTTGCGACCCAGCGTGGGGACGGCTCGCCACGGCAACTTTCCTGTGGCTCGGGCAGCTGTGGCGGGGTTCCGCCGCCGCGCCCGAGGAGGGACTCGAGGCCCTCTGTGCCGGCCTTTTGTGCTGGCGGTGGTCGGGGTCAGCTTGCTGCTGGAGGACCTGGAGTTCGCGACGGCGCTGTGGTTGGCCTGGGACGGCATGCTGCGCTTGCCGTCCGCCCTGGTGAGCATGGCGCCCAAGACCTTGATCGGGCCTGGCAGGGCGGGAAAGCCCACGTGGGCCCTTCTCCTGTGCCCCAGCGAGGAGGAGGCGAGGAGCAAGGTCATGGGCGCCGACGAGGGCGTGATCATGCGCGAGGCTTGCTGGAGCTGCGGCGGCAGCGCGGCCCTGCGGCGCCTGCGAGGGGCTCGGGGCCCCAGCTGCCAGCTCTGGTCGTTCGACGGGGCTTGGTTCGCCAAGCGGTTCGAGGAGCGGCTGGCCGCGCTGCCCGAGGCGCCCGCGGCGGTCGCCTACCAGGTGCGCCACGGGGCCGCGAGTCACGCGGCGGCCGTGGACCAGCTCCCACTCAGCGGGATCACCGAGCGGCCGCGGCACGGCAACCCGCACAGCAGCTTGCGCTACGCCAAGCACGTCCGCTACCTCTCCCTGCTGAACAGAGTGCCGCAGGCCGTGGTCGACTGGGGCGAGATGATCCACGCGCGGCTGGGCAGCCTGCTCGGCGGGGGCGACGTCTTGCAGGCTCCCGCCTTTCTGCCGCGGAGTGTGCTCGATGCCTTGCGCGCCAGCTGCGCCAAGGCTTCAAATTCGCGTGTGAACAAAAGTGTCAAATATTCCTCGAAGTTGGATTCTCGAAAGGTGAAGTGAGCCGATGCCTTTCTGAGTCCAGTGAGCACGGTGCAGTTTGGGTCAGCGCCTCCATGTGTGATCTCTCGGTCGTCCGAAAGATGCTCATGGGGTGGGTCGGTTCTTGTGCCGTGCGCGGCGTTGTTGTGACGCTTCCCGACTTGAGTGCTGATCACTCGGGGGACAGTAGTTGCCAGCTCCGTGTAACTATTGTCCAGTGCATCCACAACCTTCTTAAGATTGCGAATGCTGCCTTTTCCGCTGGGTGTCCAGCGATTGTAATCAGTCCCTGCAAGGAGCAACTAGAGCCTGTTCAGGATTACCTCGGTTTTTGGAGCCGCCCCCGTGGCGTTTGGCCTTCCAGAGTGTCCCCCCTGTGCTTTTTTTCGGCGTCGGGTCGCCACGGTCCGCTCGACATTTTAACGGCCTCGGGTGGGCCATTTGGTAGTAGTGATTTCCTCTGTCGCCACCGCCGTGTGTTTGCTCCTAGTATGTCGCCTTTCGTTTTCTTCGGGGCTTCGCTGGCCTCCCGTCTCAGCTTCCACTTAAAAGGTGCCGCCGACAGGAATCATGTTGACAATTTAACCTGCCAGGTGTGTTGACATGGGCCAGGGGCCAATTCGGGCTGATTCGGGGACGATCGGTTCCGCCGTTTGTGAAGTCAACCGCTGCGCCGTCCGAGAGATGCGATCTGGATGTAAAGAACAGAGAATAATGTTGTCTGGCCGCGCCTGGGGAGGGGTCGGGCTGAGCATGTTCTTGAAACGCTGATGCCCGTCTGCCGTCCGCGGCCCTTTTTGGGCTCCGACCAAATTCGCTCAAGCTCCCCCCGCTCCCTCCCCGCTTGGCGTGGCCTCCGCCGCGATTTCAATTCAAAGGGGGACGATCGATTCCGCCGTTTGTGAAGTCAACCGCTGCACCGTCCGAGAGATACGATCTGGATGTAAAGAACAGAGAATAGTGTTGTCTGGCCGCGCCTGGGGAGGGGTCGGGCTCATCATCGTCGTCATCATCGTCACCAGCACCGACGCCGTCACCGGCCTTGCCGTCGTCACTGTCATCATCCCCATCACCATCGCGATTATTACCATCGTTGCCGCCGCCGTCGACGTCATCATGATACCGCGCCCGCCCGAGTCACCGACCCGCGCTGAAGCGCCCGCGCGACAGCGCGGCCTTTGAAACGTGTTGGGAAGCTCCCATCGGCAAGCGCCATCACGGCCGCATCGGTTGTGCCAAACCAGCTGGTCGCCCTACGCGTGAGCGTTCGCGCGCCAGGGCGGCCGCAGAGGTGCGCTAGCAAATGCCATTCGTCAATTGGCATCGCGGCCGGATGGGTTTTGCCGAACAGCTTGCGGGTGGGAGGGTGGAATGTTTTCGTGAGCAGCGGGGTTGTCAAGTCATGATTTGGAACAATTTATGGCACCACGCATGCTGCACCCCATAGCCTGCGCCACGTAGCATACACCACACACAGTGTACCACGCATACGGCACGACAGAGCCTGCGCAACGTCGATTACATCGCGCGTATTGCACCACATCGCCTGCAGCACATCTACTGCACTGCGTATAGGGCACATCCTGAGTGCAAAAACTCAATGCTTGAGGTCCATCATGGCAAGCTTTGTATGTGGGTGTTTTCGGACCAGCTCCAAAGGTCACGCCGATGAGCTATTGCTTAGTATTGCGGACGCACTCCACTTACGAACGTTTCGGCTAGACCCGATGTTGGAGTGCCCAAGGAAACGGTTCTCCCGAGACGCGCTACAAACGAAATATGCCAGCAGAAGCAGAGGTCCCCGACAGGTGTTGCCTTTGCTTGCGGATTGCCACCGTCAGCTTACGGGGACGTGGCGGAGTATCGGCCTCTGGCCACGCTGGGAGGCCGCCAATCTCAGCCAAGATCTGCGCCCTGCTTCTAGTATAAGCCTTTGAGAGGTCTGGTGGTGGTAGTGAATATGTCCTGGAGGTGATGATTTAGAGATCTCCCATGCCATCTGTCTCATGTCCCTGGCTCCCCGCCAGCAGTCGGCTGTGCACAAGAGTGACCTTTCGCTGGAGTGACCTTTGGTAGGGGCCCGCAGGGGCCCCCCCGCAGTGGCCTGCGCGCGTGGATCTGCCCCTCCCCCCCCCCGCGGCCCCATAGCGTCTCGCACTGCAGGCCACCCTCGCAGCAGGCCGCTCTTGCTGCGTGTGGGCGATGCAGCCGCCCAGACCTCTGGGCGCCCTTCTTTCTTCGGCGCGCGGGGCGACGAGGCTCTCGCCCTCGCCCCCCCTTGCGCACGGGTCCGGCGCCGAAGGTTGTTATATCTGTGGGCCTGGGCGCCCCGCCTCCCATTGCCCCCGCCTCCCCTCGGGAGGCCTCCCTGCCCGCGCCCCTGGGGAGGCCCAGCGGAGAGAGGCCAGGCGCTGGCGCTCGCCAGCTGGCTGCTGGCTGCGCATCCGTCGCCTCTTTCGTGGACGGCCACGCTCCAGGCCTCCCAGGCAGGGGCCGAGGAGATGTGGTCGAAGGATAGCAGCGCATCGCCGACGCATCGGCGACGCGGCTCGACGAAAACAACAGCGGATAACCCCGGGGCGTAGAAACCCATTCTTTTGCAGAAAGGGAGAACGCATGCTTGTTCGCAATGAATTGTCATCTCAACTGCTTGGGCAATCATCCGTGGAGCCCGATTCCTTCCGCGCTGGCGTCGCCGATGCACCGCCGATTCACTGCCGATGCGTCTCCGATGCGTTGGAGATGCATTGGCGATGCGGCACGATCTTCCGACCCCATCTAGTCAGACTCCATCTAGGAGGCTTCTACGCGCGCGTCCAGTCGGCACCTCGTGGCTCCCTGGGGGCTGCCAATTGCGGTTATCACCACCGGCCTGTTTACGATCTGAGACGTGGGTGTGCAAACGTGAACAGGGAACGCTAGGTGCGGTCCTGGTTGTCCCTCGTCCTTTCTCCTCCCCCGCCTCCGTGCCCCCTCCAATTCTGGTCTTTCCAGCTGTCCGCGCATCCGCGCCACAGGCTTGGTATCCATTGCAGTGCAGCTCGCGCGGGCAGTGACAACTGAGCCACGGGCTCGTTGTCCAGTCCAGCGCAGTGTTGTGCCAGAGGAGCGCTTCACCACAGGCTTCGCCATTCGTTCCCGCGTGGAGAGCAAGCAAGAGATGTCGAAACTCTTCTGCCATAGCATTTGCCTGGGCAGACGCTGGCGGCCTTTTTATGGCGCAAGCCTGAAGCTGGCTGCGTCCGAAGTCTCCTCTTCCTCCTCAGCCTCCTCCTCCTCCTCCTTCTCCCCCTCCTCCTCCTCCTCCTCCTCCTCCTCCTCCTCCTCCTCCTCCTCCTCCTCCTCCTCTTCCTCTCTGTCTTGCTTGATGGTGCAGGCCGAAAGCCATGTGCAGCTGTCTGCTCTTCCTATTCTGCCTCCACCTCCTCCAAGTCTGTCACCTCGCCGCTGCTGCAGTGCTGCCACCCGGCGTCCTGGCCTGGAGCACGCGGAAGGCTTTCTCGTCAGAAGGGATGCCCTCCTCGGTCGCCAGCCTGCTGTCCCGCCTCGTGCCACCTTGGGCCCTGAAGGCGTCCCAGACCGTCCTCCTCCGAGAGCCCGCAGGAGTGCGCGCATCGCGGGGAGCAAAGCGCGAAGATGTGCTACCGAACGGCCCCACGACAAACGTACCCTGCACCCCGGCGCGTATCGCGGCCCTTGCGAGGCTTGTGCAGGGCAGCAAGATGCGTTCGCCTGCATCCCAACGCCGAGAGCACCCGCCTGCTTCCCGCACGGGCCTGAGAAGGGCAGTAGGACTGGCATCGTAATCCTCCAGCGGAGCCTTTCCGAAACATACTGCGTACGGGTCTGTCTGCATTGTTTCCGCTGTCCGTGCATCTCGTTTGTCCCATGCACGGGCTCCTCTGTCATTCCCTCTCGCGAGCTGGCGGACAGCTGTGCCTGCCCTTGCCCTAGGAGATGTCGGGCGGCGTCGGCGGAGGAGCGGCGCCACTGCCCTCAGAAGGCCCTCGATGTTCTCCCGGGTCCTCGTGGTCGTCGGGGCGGTCTGCGGATGGCTTGAGGTGTTTAAGAGATTCGCATCGCGAAGGGGACCATTCCATACCATTCCAGTCGATCCCTCTTTCCCGACTCCATCCCCTCTCTCCTCGCTCGCCGACTGGGCCCGTGGTTTCCACACATGCCTCCCTCCTCCCCCCCGCGGAGCTGCAGAAGACGTGGGAGGATCTGAGGGTCATCATGACTAGGAACCCACTTCCGTGGGCATGGACCCATTTCCAGACCCTGGCTGGAGGTTGGACGACCTTAGCTCGAATACCGACAACCACACCGTGCGCGTGTTTGTTTGGATGCCCTGATCCTGATAAGCTCCCCCATTACCTTGTTTTCCCCCGCCTCCTCCGCGTCCTCGCCTTCCCTCGTGGTATCCCTCCTGCTTCCCCGCTCACCCCTTTTTGGGCCTGGGCCTGTCACCCGACGTCGAATCCGAATATCTTTGGCAGGTCATGCTGTAGTTCTGAGTTCCGGGTGTCGGCCACCCCTTTTGCGTCGCCACCACACAACCCCACGAAGTGCGCGCCGCCGCCCTCGCTGCCGTGCGATGCTGCTGGAGCCACGGCGCCGCACCAGAGCTGGCGGCGGCGGCATCCGCTGCGCGCGCTCCTCCCGTCGCTCCTCCGCCTCCGAAGAGTTCCGACGACGTCCAGGACCTCCCGACCACGCAGGAAGTCGGCTGAAAACTTCCAGAAACCTGCCCGAGTTCCTATGCTTCGTGTCCTCCTCCGCCTCCTGCTGCTCCTCCTCTTCCTCCTCCACAGGCGCTGCTGCAGCATGCATCGCTTCCCTGTCTTGGCGCACAGTTCATAGCTCCCCGACTTCCGAGGTGCACTTCGTCCTCTCAACTCCCTCGCCGGCGGGGTCCCCCCCTCCTGGATGCCCCCCTCTTCGTGTCCCCCCTCTTCGTCGGTCTCCATTGCTGCGCCACTCACTCGTGCCCTGCCTCCAGGCTTGGCCAGTCCTTCTGAAGTAAGACCGGCTGGCCCGCCAAACTGCACCAGAGCCACGTGGATGGTCTTCCTGACACATTTTGAGGATGTTCGTTCCAAAGTCGATGTATACCTTCCGAGCCGCCTCACGGCTAGCAGCGAACATCCAGGAGCAGCGCAGACGATTCGGTCTGAGGCTGCGCTTGTGGATCATCCAGCTTCCCTGACGCAACCCCGTCTTTGGCAGCTTTCGCTTGTGATATGCTTCTTGGATTATTGCTGTTCGTGTTGTTATGTTTCTCTTCTTACCATTATCATTACCACTATCAGTATCATTAACAGTATCTGTACCATTATCATTGCCAGTCTTGTTATTGTGATTATCGTCATTCTTAGTATTGTTTTTCCGTTCAAATAGTTTAATAGTGTTTGATTATTCCTTTATTGTTTCCTTGTTCCCAACCATCCTGTGGTGTTGGGTCCTCGTTTTGAGGAGACGGTGCCCCGCGTTCTCCTTCCTTCCTTCCTTCCTTCCTTCCTCCCGCTGCCTCCTCCCCCCTCCCATCATCATCATCATCATCATCATCACCATCATCATCATCATCATCATCATCATCATCATCATCATCATCATCATCATCATCATCATCATCATCATCATCATCATCATCATCATCACCAACATCATCATCAACATCATCATCATCATCATCATCATCATCATCATCATCATCATCATCAACACCCAATTCGGCACACCCCTCACACGTTTCGTGGCTCCATAGGGAGCTCCACCGAAGGCCCCAGTGGCCGCGGCCGCATGCGTCACCCACACCCATTTCGGCACACCCCTCACACGTTTCGTGGCTCCATAGGGAGCTCCACCGAAGGCCCCAGTGCCCGCGGCCGCATGCGTCACCCACACCCATTTCGGCACACCCCTCACACGTTTCGTGGCTCCATAGGGAGCTCCACCGAAGGCCCCAGTGCCCGCGGCCGCATGCGTCACCCACACCCATTTCGGCACACCCCTCACACGTTTCGTGGCTCCATAGGGAGCTCCACCGAAGGCCCCAGTGCCCGCGGCCGCATGCGTCACCCACACCCATTTCGGCACACCCCTCACACGTTTCGTGGCTCCATAGGGAGCTCCACCGAAGGCCCCAGTGCCCGCGGCCGCATGCGTCCCCACACCCATTTCGGCACACCCCTCACACCAGCTTCGTGCGCTCCATAGGGAGCTCCACCACACCCATTTCGGCACACCCCTCACACGTTTCGTGGCTCCATAGGGAGCTCCACCGAAGGCCCCAGTGGCCGCGGCCGCATGCGTCACCCACACCCATTTCGGCACACCCCTCACACGTTTCGTGGCTCCATAGGGAGCTCCACCGAAGGCCCCAGTGCCCGCGGCCGCATGCGTCACCCACACCCATTTCGGCACACCCCTCACACGTTTCGAGGCTCCATAGGGAGCTCCACCGAAGGCCCCAGTGCCCGCGGCCGCATGCGTCACCCACACCCATTTCGGCACACCCCTCACACGTTTCGTGGCTCCATAGGGAGCTCCACCGAAGGCCTCAGTGCCGCCGCCCGCATGCGTCACCCCCACCCATTTCGGCACACCCCCCGCATTTCTCGCACGGCAGGGTCATCACCACGGTGGCGTGCCAGGGGCGCACCATGCGCGAAGGCGACGGGGCGGGGGAACGGCGCTCCGGGGGCGGCCAGACCTCCGGGGCGCGAGCAGTCCGCGGCCAGACCATCTCTCGGTCCTGTGGACTCTCGCCCTGGGCCGTCGGCTGCCCGGCGCGCTGCTCCCTCGGTCGACGTCGCCCAGGCGTGATCCTGGATTGCGGCCGCCACGAGGTAGGGAACGGCAAGAAGGAGGACGACGACTGGTGGCTGGAGCTCTACGTGCTGCTCTCGCGCGCCACGCGCCACGAGGACCTCCTGCTCATGCGGGCGCCGCGCATCGAGTTCTTCCTGGCAGGGCCGCCGCAGGGCTTGCGGAAGCAGCTGGAGCAGTTTGCGGCGCGCACGAAGCGGTGCAGGAGGGAAGCGACGGCCCTCGCCAGGGAGCTCGGCTTCACCGAGTTCATCCGCGAGGCCTGACCTGAGGAGCGTCTCCCCCGAGCCGCGCCTTCTCTCGACTGCCCGACTAATTGTTTGGCCTCGCGCCGCGGACGACCCGCGCGCGTCGCTGGGACCCTCTCGGGGCGACCAGCGCGCGTCGCGGGAACTCCGTGCTGCGGGGGGCCCGGCGCCTCGTTCGCCCGTCGTCGCTCTGCCCAGCGGTCAGAGACTTGCCCGCTATCAGCCAGCCAGTTAGCTAGTCAGCTCTCTCTGCTTCGCGCAGCGGACGACCCGCGCGCGTCGCTGGGACCCCGCCCGGGGCGACCAGCGCGCGTCGCGGGGACTCCGCGCTGCGCTGCGCCCGCAGCCTTGGATTTTGGAGTGCGCGGGCAAAGAGGAAGGAAAAGAAGAGCCGAAAGCGGGCGCGATCCTCGCAAGAGGCGTGCCGACATGGGCGTCGCGACGTGCGGGCGCTGCCGTCGGGGTTCCCGCGGAAGCTGCCTGCGGCGGCCACGCCCAGTGTCACGTGTGTTCGGACAGGCATGCTCGACACTTACACTAGGCGTTTCCATGATCGCATTCATGCAAATATATTCACTCGCGCGCAGACCCATTCATACTCAGATTCCCTCGCGCTCTGACTCACCCGCGTTCTTTCTCTCGTAATCAGATCTATCGTATTCCTTTGCGTCGTGTACCCCGCCACATTTCGGCACACCCCTCATGCGGTTCGTGGCCCCATAGGGAACGCCACCGAAGAAGATACTCACAATTGCGATACTCACAACTGCATATGGTTGGGTCCTTCGCCAGGATCATTTTTTCCAGTTGTTCGTGTTATTGCTAGTAGTGTTGTTCGTACCTTTGTTCTTGCAATACGAATTCGTACTTTTATCATGGTTCCCATCATGGTTCCCATCATTCCCCAATCAGAGCTTGCCTGTGTAGGGGTCCTAGCAGATTCATATGGTTACGTGAGCTGTGCCGCCGATTTCGGCGGCGGGCCCGGGTGCCCGGGTGCCCGGGTGCCCGGGTGCCTGGGTGCCCGGGGGTGCCCGGGTGCCTGTGTGCCCCAGTGCCCGAGGGTGCCCTGAGGTGCCCCGTTGCCTTGAGGTGCCCAGGGGTGCCCCGGTGCGGGTGCCTGGGTGCCCGGGTGCTCTATCGCCCTATAGCCCTATAACCCTATAGCCGTATAGCAATCTAGCCCTATAGCCCAATAGCCCTATAGCCCTATAGCCCTATAGCGCTATAGCGCTATATCCCTATAGCGCTATGGCCCTAAAACCCTATAGCCCTACAGCCCAATAGCCCTATAGCCCTTTAGCCCTATCGCTCTATAGCCCTAAAACCATATGGCCCTACAGCCCTATAGCCCTATAGCGCTATAGCCCTATAGCCCTATAGCCCTGTAGCTCTATAGCCCTATAGCCCAATAGCCCTATAGCCCAATGGCCCTATAGCTTTATACCCCTATAGCCCAATAGCCCTGAGGTGCCCGGGTGCTCTATCGCCCTACAACCCTATAACCCTATAACCCTATAACCTTATAGCCCTATAAGCATATAGCCCTGTAGCGCAATAGCCCTATAGCCCTATAGCGCTATAGCCCTACAGCGCTGTAGCCCCACAGCGCTATAGCCCTATAGCCCTATAGTCCGACAGCCCTATAGCCCTATAGCCCTATAGCCCTATAGCCCTATAGCCCTATAGCCCTATAGCCATATAGCTCTATAGCTCTATAGTCCTATAGCCCAATAACCCTATAGCCCAATGGCCCATATAGCCCTACAGCCCTATAGCCCTATAGCGCTATAGCCATATAGCCCTATAGCCCTATAGCCCTAAACAGATTATGGTTGGGTTTTTCTCTGGTATCATCACATATTTCCACAATTCGAGCTTGCCTCTGTAGGGGTCCCAGCGGATTCATATGGTTAGGTGAGCTGGGCCGCCGATTTCGGTGGCCGGCCCAGGTGCCCGGTCGCCCGGATGCCCGGGTGCCCGGGTGCCCGGGTGCCCAGGGGTGCCCAGGGGTGCCCAGGTGCCTGGGTGCCCAGTTGCCCAGGGGGTGCCCAAGATGCCCGGGGGTGCCTAGAGGTGTCCGGGGGTGCCTGGAGGTGCCCGGGTGCCCAGGTGCTCTATCCCCCTATAGCCCTGTAGCCCTATAACCCTATGGTCCTATAGCCCTATAGCCCTATAGCCCTATAGCCCTATGGCCCAATAGCCCTATAGCCTTATAGCCTTATAACCCTCTAGCCCCAATAGCGCTATAGCACTATAACCCTATAGCCATATAGCCCTATAGCCCAATAGCCCTTCTAGCCCTGTAGCCCTATAGCCTCATAGCCTTATAGCCCTATAGCGCTATAGCCCTATAGCCCTATAGCCCCATAGCCCCATGGTCCTATAGCCCTATAGCCCTATAGCCCCATGACCCTAAACAGATTATTATTGGGATTTCTCTGGTATCATTTTATCATTCCTCGTATTTTTCATCATGCTCGTATGATCATGTGTACAGTCAGTATTATGGTTATCATCAATATTGTTATTACTCCTCCTCCTCTTTGTCCTTCTCATCCTCCTCGTAGTCCTCCTCCTCCTCCTCCTCCTCCTCCACCTCCCTCTGTCCCCCGTGCGACTAGGGCATCGAGGATTCCTGGACGTGCTCGTATCGTCAAGGTTTCAAGGAGGACCTGAGCAAATGACGGTACTTGACCGCCACTGCTCTAGTACCCCTATGCCGCCCAGACCGACCCCAGCTCAGAAATGCGCTCAGAAACGTGCTCTGAGAGAAAGGTGGTCGCGGCGAGGGGGGGTCGGACGGGGCCAGGACGAGGACAAATCCGTTCCGGAACGCTCTGAGAAGGCCGCGGCGCCCCAGACATCCTCCAGAGCCGCAAGATCTCAGAGATTCCTGATGTATCTTCACCCGACTTTACCCTCGTCCTGGCTTCGTCTTGGAGGGGGGGGGCCCTCTTCCCCCCCCCTCCCTCCTGCCGCCCTCGCATCCTCCGCCCTCCTCCCTTCTCTTCTCCCCACATCCGTCCCCGGTCCGTTCCCCTTTTTCCCTTCCTGCCGCTCCTGCCCCCTCTCCATCCACCCTCTCTTCGTTCCCCCCCCTGTCCCCCCCCTCCCCCCCCCTCCCCCCTCCCTCCGCCCCCCCTATCCCCCCTCCTTCCCCCCTCCCCCCCCTCTCACCCCTCTCTCCACAATTACACATATGAAAATACTCTCCCACTTCCCCTGATGGCGTCCGGAAGATATTCGGCACCCCCCCGCGTACTGTTTTTTAACACACAGGATTCCCCGGAGTTGGGTTTTCGCTTGCGTTTTTTTCTAAAATGCTGCTCTCGCTGAGGCGCCGGCCTCATTTCTGCTCCCGAATCGTTCCGAATCGTGCTCCCGCTCCAGCGTGGGCCTCATTTTCGGATCGGTGTTTGGCCTCCGTCGTTGAGGATGGCGTTCTCGCCCCAGCGCGGGCCTCTTTCTCGCGCGCCCATCCGCCCGCCACCACCGCGCCGCACCACCACCACCACCACCACCACCACCACCACCACCACCACCACCACCACCACCAGCACACCAGCACCAGCACCAGCACCAGCACCAGCACCAGCACCAGCACCAGCACCAGCACCAGCACCAGCACCAGCACCAGCACCAGCACCAGCACCACACCACCACCACCACCACCACCACCACCACCACCACCACCACCACCACCACCACCACCACCACCACCACACAACCACGCACACACGCACGCACGCACGCACGCGCACCACCACCCACTACGCACGCGCGCGCGGAGCCACAGGTCCGCTACGACACGCGTCCGCGGATAGAGAAAATCAGCGCCATGGTAAGGGATGGGAGGGAGGGGTAGGACGTCAGATATGACGCGAGCGCACCTAGCTTGCCTCTCCCCCCTCTCTTCCCCCCCCCTTTTCCCCCCTTCTCCCTCCGCCCTCCTCTCCCTTCCCCCTCGTCTCCCCCCCCCCCTCTCTTCCCCGCGCGCTCCCGCGTGCGCGGGGAGGAGGCGGACGGGGGGCTTTGGGATAGGAGGAGAGGCAGGGAGCCGCGGTGCGGAGTGCTGGCCGGCCCACCTGTGCGAAGCGTGACTGGCGGCCAGGTTCGACCCTCCCCCTCCCCACCCGGCCCCCTGCAGGACTCCTGGGGGGCCCCCGGGGCTCACGCGGAAGGAGGGGCCGCCCACCTCCAGGTGGGCAGCAGGCGGTTCCATTCCTTGTCCGCTTCCTCCACGAGGCTGTGGTTTCACCCCCTGGCGACAACGGGCGGGGCCTGGGGGGGCGAGGGGGGCATTTGGGGCCTTATATTAACGTCACGATTCGCGGCGGCGCCGTCAGGGCATGCCCGTGGGTGGCCGATTCCCGGACGGCGCGGGCGCGCGCATCGTGGCGTGGCCAGGGGGGATCTCTCGAGGGAGGGGGCGTGGCGTGGCGTGGCTACAGGCGGCCCAGGTCAGCAGGTCGGCCCTGGCCAGAGCAAGGGTGCCCTCGTGTCCTGTGTCTTGCGACCCGTGCCTCCTGCATTTCTGTGGCAGCGTGGCCCTCGGAATGGTCTTATGTGTCCTCTCGCGTGTCCTCTCCAGTCAAGTCCGACTGCAGGAGTCCCACGGCTCCCGCCCATCCCACAGGTCCCACAGGCCACCTTTTGCTGCTGCTGTGGTGCTTTCCTGGGGCAGGGAAGTTCCAGGTCGGCCGCGACGCGCGTCCGCGGATGGAGACAGCAGCGGCGCAAGGGGAAGGAATGGGAGGAAGGGATGGGATTCGGCGGCGGAATCCCGACCCTACCCTCGCCGATGAACGATTCAGGCAACTCGATGGGCGGCGGGGGTAGGGTTCGGAATTCGTCGAGCACGTGGCGAGATCCGAACCCTCCCCCGGACGCCCATCGATTCAGGAGAGTCGATGGTTGCTGCGGGTAGGGCCCGGATGTCGCCACAGGAGGATGGCAGATGTGGCGCGAGCGCTCACAGTAGGTTCGCATCGTGTCGACCAGCGGCGACCCCGCCGCTGGCGTACAACGTTGAACGCCGCCGGCGACGCAGAACGGGTCGGTGTTGGACGATCTGACGTTTCGGGAACGACCGATCGTGTAAGGTTGAACGAGCCGTGTCAGAAACCAACGCCGAAGTCGGCACGACACGAGCCTGCCGTAGCTTGGCTCGGCCTTTCTCTCTCTGTCTCCCTCCTCTCTCTCTCTTCGGCCCCCCCCCCACGGCCATGGAGCACCCGCCTGGCCCGGCCCTCCGGCCTGAGAGGCCGCCCTCGCGGAGGCTCTCCCCGGGATCCCGCAGATTGTGCGCCTCGCCGCCCACCCGTGGGAGCGACCTGCTGCCAGAACCCTCGGGCCGAAAAATTGTGCCGGCAACTGGAGCACGTACATTACCAGTGGCGGGCTGTTTTTCAGCCCCCAGACTTTTTGGAGGGTTTGGAACGACGTCGGGGTGGTGTGGTGTATACTTTTTCCCCCGCTTTCCCAGGGGAAACAGCGAATCATCTATACACCATGACCCCGTATACACCAGGATCCGCGTTCTTATGCGAATCTCAGTGCGGGGCCAGAAAAGGCGTCGGTGCATAGCGTTCGGCTCCTCAATATGAACAGATCATGACGGGAGGTATTTAGATATTGTGCCAGTGCCGCTGGCCCTGAAGACGACGAGGAGGAGGAGGAGGGGGAGGAGGAGTGGCAGGAGGAGCAGGAGGAAGAGGAGGCTCGGGTCATGAACACATCATGGCGGGAGGTCTTTCGCTATTTCGAAGGCCTTACGGCCAGTGCCGCCGTTTCTGAAGACGAGGAGGAGGAGGAGGAGGAGGAGGAGGAGGACGACGAGAGGGGAAGAGGAGGAGGAGGAGGATGAGGCTCGGGTCATGAACAATTCATGGCGGGAGGTCTTTTGCTATTGCAAAGATTTTACGGCCGGTGCTGCCCACCCTGAAGACGACGATGACGCCGACGACGACGAGGACTACGAGGAGGAGGAGGAGGAGGATGAGGAGGAGGAGGAGGAGGAGGAGGAGGAGGGGAAGAGGAGCAGGAGGAGGATGAGGCTCGGGTCATGAACAGATCATGGCGGGAGGTCTTCCGCTATTGTAAAAGCCTTACGGCCGGTGCCGCCGATCCTGAAGACGAAGACGACGAGGGCGACGAGGAGGAGGATGAGGGACATAAGGAGCAGGAGGAAGCGGAGGAGGCTCGGGCCGTGAATGAACAAATCATGACGGGAGGCTCTGGTTTCGCTGTGCTCGGCCTCTCTGGGCCCTCGCCCGCAACACGACTCGGGGGGGCACCCTGTCCCAGGGAGTGGGTCGAGACCTCTGGGGGCCGACGCCGTGGCAGAATCGTGACGTCGGGGGTCTGGGGCGTGAGTGACTTGTTCGATAGGGGGCCACATGCGAACCCTACCCCTACCCCCCACGATTTCTGAGGGGGAGGGCAGGGGGTAGGGGTAGGGTTCGCATGTGGCGCCCTACTGGGGCGTGAGTGGCTTGTTCGAGGCCCCGGGCACTTCCTGCACTCCACCGCACCCCGGCCCGACGGCCCGCCTCGCCGCTCCCGGCGCCACTGAGCGCGTCCCGCTGCTCGCAGAGTGCCTCCTCGCAGACGTCTGGAAGCCACGGGCCTTCCCTGTGCAGTGCATCGCCGATCCAGGCCATTTGCGAGCACAGTCAGCTCGCATTGACACCAGCACCAGTATCGGCGGTGTGCCTCCACCGAGGGAAGACGATCCCGATCTCGGTGATGGTGGTAAGATTCTGGCTTCCAAGGCGACCGAAATAGTACCACCGACACCGAAATCCAGGATCATCTTCCCCTGTGGAGGCAACACCCTGTGTTGGTGTTGGTGCCCATTTCCAGGCCTCCAACAGTAGGGATGGGCAACCTTCCCAAGGGCACCCTTGCGTCCTTGCCCCTTCGGCCCATCCTCAGCGACTTCCGCTGGCCAACCTCGCTCGAGACACGCCGGCGTGGCCCTCCTTGCACCCTTTTCCCGCGCATCCTTCTGAGATGGGCCGGCCGCAGCTGCTCTGCGATAAGTGGAACGCCCTCGCCCACGGCTGCTTCAGCGGGCGAAGAACGGTATAAAGTAAACTTTTTCGCCGTCGGGGACACCCGCCCCTGGGCGGCTGGAAAGTTCATACCCCTACGGGCCCACCGTAAGGGTACAAACTTTCCAGCCGCCCAGGGGCAGGCGCCCCCGACGGCGAAACAGTTCATTTTATGCCGTTCTTCGCCCGTTAACTGCTGCCCGTGCAGGCCTGTGCGCCCCCGCACGCGCGTGCAGGCCCTTTCGCGGCACACGCGCGCTCCGCCGCCCGCGGCCTCCCCCTCCCGCCTCCCCGCCCGTCCCCCTCTCCTCCTGCTAGGCCCGACGTCGGCCCCGGTGCTCGGGCCGGACGAAAGAGCGTCGCGCTGTCCATCGCAAGACCAGCGAAGCCCACGAAGCCCAGGGCACCCTGGAGGCAAGCGGGGTGTTTCCTGGCACGGGTTCCCCGTGCAATCCTCTCCCGAAGCCAGCAGCGGTGTCCCAGCAGGCGCGACGGCTTCTGAGATGCCCCGCCGCCCTCTGCGCGGCGCGCCCCCGCTCGCTCCCCCCCCGGGCTCTGCGGCGACCCTCGGGCCGGGCGAAAGGGGGGGATTGGGAAAGGGGGGGTTACGAAATTTGCTGCATGCAGCTGGTTTCGGCCTCACCGAGGGGGCCATTCCTCGATACATGGCCGCCTCCGGCGCCGGGAGGCGCCGGGAAAATCAGCTGCGTGAGCTGAT